TGAGGCGGAAGGATCGTCGGAGCCCAGTAGGTCGAGGCTGCGGTGGCCGGGAGTGGCTACTGCACTCCAGTCTGGGCGACAGAGTGAGACTCCAACTCAAAAAAAAGAAAAACAAAAAAACAAAAAAACAACCAAGACCAGAAAACCAACATATTTCTTATAGTTCTGGAAACTGGGAAGTCCAAGATCAAGGGGCCGACATCTGGTGAAGGTCTTCTTGTTATGTGATCCCATGGAGGACGATCCCCCAAAACACAGAACTTATAACATTCAAATTAATACAGAGGGATAAAGTAAATTTACAGAAGAAAAAAGTAACAAAAAGACAATGCAAAAGAAGGTAAGGGAGGAAAAATAAATAAATAACAAAAAACAGAACACACAGGAAGCATAAAATGACTGTAGATATTAATTCTGTTACGGTTTAAAATGTCTCCCAAAGTTCACATGTTGGAAACAAAATGGCCAATACAACAGTATTGAGAGGTGGGACTTTTAAGAGGGGATTGGTCATGAAGGCTTTGCCCTATAAATGGATCACTGCCATAATTGTGAGAGTGGGTTTATTTATTTGGAAAGTGGGTTCCTGGTAAAAGGAAGAGTCTGGGCCTCTTCCCTTATCTCTCACTCATGCTCTCTTGCCCTTCTGCTTTCATTTCCTTGTCTCCTTTTGCTTAACTGAGAGCTGGCCTGGCAGGTTCACGTGAAGTTAGGAATGGACTGATGATGCTAGTGGGCCCCGTGGCTCAAACCTGTAATCCCAACACTTTGGGAGGCCGAGGCATGAGTATTGCCTGAGCCCAGGGGTTCAAGACCAGCCTGGGAAACTTGGCGAGACTTCATCTCTACAATAAATAAATAAATAAGCGAGGCATGGTAGCACCCACCTGTAACTCCACCTACTTGAAAGGCTGAGGCAGAATGATTGCCTGAGCCCAGCAGGTCGAGGTTGCAATGGCCATGAGCATGCCACTGCACTCCAGCCTGGGCGACAGAGTAAGACTCTAACTCAAAAAAAAAAAAAAGGTAGCTTTGGATATCCTCTTTGCATCATATGGCATAACTTGAAAAGCTAAGATAAGCAAGTTACTATAGCCTTAAAAGAGACTTTCAAGTTGAAGGCAGATCATATTGAAGTATCGAGTGGCCCAGATTGAATAGATCTTTCTGCACTAAGTCAGAAAAGTAAAAGTGAAAAAGTAATACATCTGATAAATTTCATTTTGGGATTTTGTAATTTACAATTAGAAATTTTTATCCATTTATTTAGTTTGCAGAATGGAAAAATGAAAAGAAAAAAGTGAAAGTTGTAAGCAGCAGCAAAGATGAGTTAGATTTAGATTTTTATACAGATAAGTTAGAAAAAATAAACATTAATGTGGACTATGATAGTAATGACAGTGATATAATCCTACCAAGAAGAAAAGTAATAGATGTAATGTATTGTGAATGTATTAGAAAGTGATAGCAATGAAAGTGTTATAGTTTTGAATGGGAAGATGTTACAGAAAAAGTCCTCCAGCAAGAATTTTGTTGTACATCCTCAAACAACAGGACCACCAATATCAAGTGATATAAGAGAACCAACTGACGATTTTACTCTGTATTTTGTATATGAATTAGTGGATAGTATATTAAAATTATTTTAAGAAAAAGCAGCTATCACACAAATCAATTTGGCATAAGTGGCATGACACTGGCCAATAGGAATTTTTAGTTTTTATCACAGTCACTCTAAATATGGGAATAATTCAAGCACCAAATTTGAAAGAGTACAGGTCAACTGCTTTTACTATTTCAGCAACATTTAGTAGAGAAAGGTTTATGCAAATCTTCTGGATGCTTCATTTGAAGACACCTGCGTAGAGTGATGAGACAATCAGAACTCATATTCAAAAGGCTAATAATTATTTGGAATATATTGATTCAAAATTTTCACAATATTTCATACCAGATCAGGTAATTTGTGTTGATGAATCCAGTATTCAACTTATTTTTTTTTTATTTTTACTTTTTTGAATTTTCACTCTGTCGCCAGGCTGGAGTGCAGTGGCACGGTCACGGCTACAGGCACGCTCTATCACGCCCAGCTAATTTTTTGATTTATTGTAGAAATGAGGTCTCACTATGTTGCCCAGGTTGGTCTTGAACCTTTGAGCTCAGGCAATCCTCTCACTTTGGCCTCCCAAAGGACTAGGATTATAGGCGTGGGCCACCGCGCCTAGTCCTGTCATTCAATTTAAAGGGTAAATATCATTCATAACATCCAAATATGCCTACAAAATGGGGCATATGCATTTATGTGCTAATTCAAAAATAGGGTATCTTTTGAGTACCCCTAACACACCAGAACACCAGGTAAGAGGATGGGCTAGGTCACCCACTTGGGGAAACCATTTGGGTGTACTAGTAAAGCTAAAAGTCCACACCCCATGCTTCTGCAATTATATTGATACATTTGCACACATATGTGCCTTGCATGAGGAAATAGGCACAAGAGAAAAGCACTGCAAACAATCCGAGTGTCAGTCAGCAAAGGAACGGAATGAACTCCATCATTCCATCAACATAGACTGATCTCAAAAACGAGCAAAGAAAGTCAGAAGATATGTGCGACTCCATTCATACAAATGTCAAAACTACACAACACACCATTAAGAAATGCCTACATGTATGATAAAACTCTTTAGAAGGCTTGACACAAATTTCAAGCCAGTGTTTACTTCTGCCTGGTAGGGAGAAAGGCTTGACTGGAGACGTGCAAACCAGTGGCATTTACTGGTCAAGTCCATTTCTTAAGCTGAATGAGAGATCCCGCGGGTTCATATCATTTCTCTCAAAACCACACACACCAGCTATACAGACTCTTCTTTGCACATTATATATTTCATAATAAATGTAGGCAAAAAGCTGTTTTAAATTATCTTCTTGCTCAGGTCCTTGTTTTAAAAGCAAGACTTTGCTTAACAGTGGTCTTTTTACTGAAATAAAACAAAGACATTTACATCTGGTACTTTTAGGACTGCTCTTAAAAGAAAATGCTATTACATTAAAGACATTCATGTGTTCCCTCCCTTCATAGGGCACAGGAACTTCTCTCCAAACTAACGCTGAAGTGTAGAGACCTTAGGGCTTTATGCAGAAACGTAAAATAGGCTTTATTGACTTGCTCCATGCAATACAGCCTGTTTATACACCAAACGACACACCCCTGCACTGTTTAATGAAACCCTTTAAACTAGTTATAGCAACAGCAAAGACAAACATATTAAGTGCTAAGTAAACACCCAGGGAGGCAAACTGTTGCTTAATTATGGCACATTAGATTTCAATCTTAAACTGCCACATGAAGTTTCAAAACGGGTCCTTTTTGCTTGAGGCAACTGTGAGACTAAACTGGAGGCTCCTGCTGGGCACCTGAATGTTTGGCTTTGGGCAAATTCACAGACTCTGTTTCCGCAAAATTATCATATCCAATTACAACTTTTTGTCGTTGGCAGGCCGGTATTCTAGCTTTGGGAGAGCGAGGAGGGAGAATCGCTTGAGTCTAGGAGTGCGAAATGAGCCTGGGCAACACTGCAAGACACCCATCTCTACCGAAAAAAAATCAGAAAATTAGCCGGCCGACGGCTCAAGCCTGTAATCCCAGCACTCTGGGAGGCAGAGGCGGGAGAACCTCCTGAGGCCCAGAAGGTGAAGGCTGCTGTGAGTCGTGATCATGACACTGCACTCCGGCCGGGCGAGAGGGTGAGACCCCCCTCCCTCCCCAAAAATCCTTTTTTCCCAGTTCCCGCAGCACCGCTGCAAGATATTCTTTTTGTGCGCTCATCTAGAATTACCCCCCCCCGGGGGGGCCGGATGAGTCGGCGACAGAGCAGCGTGACCTCGCAACAGGCTGTCTTCAGGCTCCGGATGCCCCAAGTCCCGGGTGTGGACTGCAGCTGGGGAGACACCGCGTGTACGCGTCTATCCCGTGGCCACCCGGCAGGTCAGCGGGAGAGACCCTGCACGTCCCTGCGGCCGCCTCCCGTCGGTTGAGGGGAAGGGTACACCTCGGGGCGGGCACACCTCCGGGCAGGCACACGACCGGGCTGGCACACCGCGTCCTAGTCCCCGTGGGGACCCTCACCCACCCCCGCGTGAGAAGGGGCGAGGCGCGCCAGGCCATCGGGACCAAAAGCGTCGTAGGGATCACCGGGTCAACCACTGTTTTCACACGTGGGGAAACTGAGGCTGTGGAGTAACGCAGCGTGGGGATTACACCGACCCCAGCCGCCGAGAAGTCGACCCTGAAGACAGTGACTAGCCCGCGGACGCCCGCTCGCGTCTCCAGGATGGTGGGTGTCAAGAGCCCCAGGACGCCTCCGGGACTCGGTAGACAGCCCGCGCTCCCACGCGGCGCCGGGAAGAGGGCGGCGGGGGCAAGGCCACGGCCGGGGCGCGGCCCGGAGGCCGCAGCGGGGCAGCTGACGCCGAACTCCCGCCCCGCTCCTTCCCTTCGGCAAGAAGAAGGGGACGCCAAGGCTGCGGCGCCTCCGCGAGATGGGGTACCTGAGGCTCGCGCCGCGGTCCCCCGCCGCCCCGGCCCCGGAGCACGGCCCCCCACTTCCGGGGTCACGTTGTCGCCGCGGGGAAGCCGGAGACCACAAGAGGGGGGCCGCCGGTTCCGCCCCCATCCAAGCCCCGCCTCCACTGCCCGCTCGGCCGGGGAGTCGGACCACTTCCCAGACGCCGCGCGTCGCTAAGCAGCCGATCTCCACTTCCGGACGCGTCTCCTTTTCCCCTTGCCCCGCCCCTTCCTGGGCGGTGCGCTGACGATCAAGGTTTTCGCGCATTTGATTTGGCGGCGCTGACGCGCAAAGGCCTCGCTGATTGGTGCCGAGGAAATCTGTCCCATAGATGCCCGCGAGGCGCACAGTTTTCGTCGAGCGTCTGTTTCCCGCCGGCTGCAGGTTTTGGGCCGTCAACATGGTGGACGTCTTGGAGTTGCCCAGGTCGCGCATCAACGCCAGCATGCTAGCTCAGTTCATCGACAAGCCCGTCTGCTTCGTAGGGAGACTGGAAAAGGTGTGCAGGCTCTCCGTCTTGGGCTCCCCAGTCTGGAGCTGGAGAGAGGGACCCCGTGACCGCCTGGGTGACGGACGCGGAGTGGGTGTCGGGGATGGAGGAGGACGGAAAGCCTCAGAGCATCGTTGCGCTCCCGATGGCTTAATTTTATTTTATTTTATTGCACGCTCTTGAACCATCGCAGCCCGGTTCTGGCGCCCCTTTTAGGTCGCGGAAACAAGGTGTTTTCAACTGCGCTACGTAATAAATCCCAGCGCCCCTCACCCCGTTCTGTCTGTACTCGCAAAAGGGAAATGAAAGACGTGTCTCCCACGTCTTCCTTCCTTTTGATTTCTTAGTTTAGCCAGACATGATTGGCGCCAACACACCGAATCTGCTTGTTTCCTTCTCTTCTGCAGTTGTTTTCGTTCCCAAACCTCGTTTTCTCGTTGAAGTTGCTCCTCCACAAAACGTCTGATAGTCCGTTTTAGATCCTGAAGCAGCCTGTTTTCTTGTCCCACTGTTAGAAAGCAGTCCCCTCGTCCTGCAGATGAGAAGCAGGCACAAAGTCTCGGGATCCGGGACCTGAGAAAGTTGAAGGGACGAAAACGTTGATAAACACTTATTTAGCAGCTCATTTCATCCTCACATCCTGTTGAAATGAGGATTATTCCGCCTTCACAAGTAGGGAAACTGAGTGGAAGTGGTGGGTGGTTAAAATGCTCAGGGAAACAGCAAGTGGCAAAGCTGGCGTTCAGAGATACCCTACAGCATTCATTGCAGCTGCCTTCTGGGAATAGAACCCAGATCTGGCAAGCAGTTCCCTTTTTACTTAATTATGCCTTATTTTTAAAACACACCCTAAGTGGGATACATACTACCTGAATCATAAGGGCCAGCACACTTCACCCTTAAATAGTATGGGCCTCCTTTAATTTGTTCTTAGAATAGGATTAACAGATTTAGCAAGTAAAAACTCAGAACCTATTTATACTACAAAAGTATGCGTTGTTTATCTGAAATTCAAAATCAGCTGAATGTTCCATGACTAGACCTAGAAGCACAAGATTATAATTTGAACCAAATAAACTGTTCAAAAAGCAGTTTCAGCCTGGCAGAGTGGCACATGCCTGTAGTCCCTGCACTTTTGGAGGCTAAGGCAGTAGAATCGATTGAGCGCAGGAACTGAAGGTTACAGTGAGCTTTGATGGTGCTGCTGCACTCCAGTCTGGGCAACAGTGAGACCCTGTCTTTGGAAAAAAAAAAAAAATTGCTTTATGCTCAACTAAGTAAGTTAGGGTCAATGATGTGCTCATTCTTTTTCAAAATATTTTTTTTTAATTTTAATAAGGATTTAATCATGTTTTCTTTTTTAGATTCATCCCACTGGAAAAATATTTATTCTTTCAGATGGAGAAGGAAAAACTGGAACCATCGAGTTGATGGAGCCTGTATGTTTAAGTATTGACTCTATTTGTATTATAGTTAATTTTTCATAGTTGTCTGGTTTGTTGGTAATGTTCCTAATTTTTGGAGTGGATGTATAAAAGATGAACTTGCAAAACTTTCCTGGCTCTAAAATTAAATTCTGTTCCTCTTCTCTCATTATACTGTCTTTTGCATTTCTAACCAATGATTCTTTGGGCTTCATGGGTTTTTTAATACTTCCTTAAAAATGTTGGATAACAGCTCTTATTCCTTATGAAAGACCATAAAATCACATAAGAAAAATCTTCCATTTAAATTTTTTCTTTCTCAAGAGCTTTAAAATGTTTTAATTTTTTATTTTTTTTAATATTTTTTCAGCTTTTACTTATTTATTTTCGAATTTTATATGTACTGTGCTTTAAAACATTTTCTTGGTATTTTATGAAGACAAATTCATATACTGGTTTTTTTAATGTATACAGAACACACTTTGTGAAATATAGATTAAAGAAGTTTCTGGCCATTGCCTTGCTAACCTATGGTGTGGCCATGTGCTCTTTGATCTATGGCCAGGCCATGTTAAGAGAGTTCCACTGAATGGGTCATATTTTTTATTTTTAAGTCAGGGTCTCATGCTATCGCCCAGGCTGGAGTGTGGTGGCACTATCACAGCTCACCACAGCTTCGAACTCCTGGACTCAAGCATTCCTGCCACCTCAGTCTCCCGAAGTGCTGGGATTACAGGCATGAGCCATTAGGCCAACCTGGACGTTTTCAATATCATTACGTGATTTTTTTTTTTTTTTTTTTTTTTTTTTTTCCTAAAATGTTCAGCTTAAAGTGTTTAACCTTTGGACTCAAAGCTCCTACTAAGGTGTCAGAACTTATAGCATGCTGATGGTTAAGTACGCAAACATTTTTTAACAAGTTACATTTCAATTCTTATATTGGTAGTTTTTAAAATTACTTTTTTTATATGAAATGAAACAACAACCTCTATAACAGTTTTCCAAGTTAAGTGTCAACTGAAAACGTTGTAACACCAAATTCACGTTTTGTTCTGTGGCTTAGCTTGAAGAAGAAATCTCTGGAATTGTGGAAGTGATTGGAAAAGTGACACCCAAGGCAACCATCATGTGTACATCTTATATCCAGTTCAAAGAAGATAACCATCCTTTTGGTAAAGACATTCTAGTGTTTAGTGATTTTATGTAATTGAGGGGAAAACAAAATATTCTTAATTTGATATGTGCTGGTTTTGGGTCTCAGTCCTCCCATATTTTCAGTTTCTATAGAATTGTCTGGTCCCAAAGGAAAATGGTAATACATTTTGGCCTGCTCCTAAGTAGCACTCATACATGTAAGAAACTTAGTACTAAGATTAATATTTGTAGAAAGAGAAATTTTAAAAATAAGATAACAATATTAGTTGTCTTAGTTTGTTTTAATATGTGAGTCAGAGGCATGGAACAAGGCATAACACCTAAGATGTGACCAGGGAGAGGGTTGGCCTGTGTAACTTGACATCAAAACGTGTGGTCTCCTGTCACCCATGAGGTCACATGGAGCGACAGTTACATAAACGCAATGACCCATATCTCAGGTTTAGAATGAGATTGTGAAAACAAGCTGACCTTTATAAGGGGAGAAAAAGAAATGGGTAGAAATCTTTTAGATAATAATTGATGTCACAGCTTTCCACTGTAGACTAAATGTATGCTTAATGTCTCTTTCAGATCTTGGACTTTACAATGAAGCTGTGAAAATTACCCACGAGTTCCCTCAGTTTTATCCTGTCGGGATTGTGCAACATGACTGACCTCAATGCATTTTCTTATTGCAAATGAGCTACATTGAAGGAGGCCCCTCTTGTTTGAGGGATAGATCGCTATGGTTTCTAATATTTAATTTCCATTTCTAAAAATTTTATTCACCTGACTAAATATTCCAGTCTGTAGTTTTAGATGGGACCTGGTCTGTGGACTGTTCTCACGTAAGCCTTTAGAAAAGAATCAGATTGGATGCAAGAAAAGAGCGATTTTCTGAGTTTAGGTTTCTGCTTTGTTAGTAAAAATTTCAATGGTACATGCTGTTGGTTATTGCATTTTTATTCTTTTAGTCGTGTATTTAAGCACAAACTTGGAATTTCATAGCTATAACGTTAAGACTTAGACCCACTAAATGAAACCTTGGACCAACTGTGTTGAGGATTTTCTCCCAAGCTACACCATGGTAACTACTTCCTTGATGTTCTACTTAAAAAAGTACATCTAATGAATTAAAAGTGCAAACAGAATCCTACATCTTCTGTAATTGGTAAAATACCTCTTTTTCTGGATTTTAAAACTGAGCATTTACTAATTGCTAAACAAGGAATACCTAATCACTGAAAGAGTTGGTGAAGTCATTTGAATTTTTTTTCTTTTCAACTGTCATGCTCAGTGTCGAATTCCTGTCTGCTACCATGTCGGGGGGGAGCAGGAAGGACGTGGCAGGCTTGGGATAAGGTGGTGCAGAATAACCGCAGTGCTCTGTGTGGCCAGTTAGGGTTTATGGCTGGACCCGTCCTCTGCAGTAAGGAAATAAAATCATTCCAAATCCACTTAGATTGTAAATTATACTAAACATGCTTACTTTAAATTATCTTCGATTTCAACTTTTATTATCTTAAAATACAGATTTCTTAAGGAACATAGTCATAGCTGCTTGTGGTAAAGCATTTCATTTTATGAATTTAAGATAGTTATACAGTCATATGCTGCTTGATAACTTCAGTCAACAATAGACCACACAGACCAAGGTGGTCCCGTAAAAATTCATAGAGGAGCTGAAAACTTCCCATCGCCTAGTGACATAACCGTTGTCATGTTTTAGCACAACACATTACATTTGTGGTGGTGCTGGTGTAAACAAATCTGCACTTAATTTATAGATAGTACATCAACCTTGAAAACAAACGACTATGTTACTGGTTTATGTATCTGCTATTTATCATTATTTCAAAGTGTACTCTTACTTAGAAAAATAACTAAAACAGCCTCGGGAAGATCCTGAGCAACCACTAATCTACTTTTTGTCTCCAGGTTTGTCTCCATTCTGGTCATTTCATATCAATGAAATCATGTAGCTTTTTGAACTGGCTTCTTTCACTCAGCATTTTCAAGGTTCATCTGTGCTGCAGCCTAGCATGCTATTAGTGCTTCGTTCCTTTTTATGGCTGAATAATATTCCCTTAGATACACCACATTTTGTCTATCTGTTCATCAGTTGGTAGACATTTGGGTGGTTTCCACCATTTAGTTATACCAAGTAATGCTGTTAATCATTCACATATACATTTTGTGTGAACATGCTGTTTTCATTTCTTAGGTAAATAGTTAGGCATGGAATTCCTATGTCAAATGGTCAGTATATTTAACTTTTTGAGAAATTGCACTGTTTTCCAAAGTGGTTGCACCATTTTCCCTTCCCACTGGCAATACATATGGATTCTAATTCCTCCTCATCCTCACCAACACTTGTTATCTGACTTTTTGGTTATAACTACCCTAGTGGGTATAAAGTGGAATCTCACTGTGGTTTTAGTTTGCCCTGTTTCTTTCAAATCTACCATCAGCCCACCAGTTGCTCAAAAACACTTAAATACCTCCAATCCTTTTCACTACCTACCATCATTGCCACTGAAAGTTCTACTGATTATCATCTCTCACTTGAATTACTCTAACAACCATCGCTGTTAACTGGCCTTCCAGCCTCCACCCTCTTCCCGTCACCCAGCCAAGAGAATTGCACTAAGCACCAATTGTGGCACCGTGTAAAGCTCATGGAAGTGTGTGAAGGAGAAACTTCCTGAGAAGCTTCCAATGAGGAAACTGGCCAATGCTTTCATGAAATGACCAAGGTTAACCTGGCAGCAATGTCATGTGTCTTCTACAGTAATGTGTTAGCTTAGCCTCTGTGGCATTTCTCCTCAAAACTGACGCCAGGTCAGTCATGAAAAAACATTAGACAAGCCAAAACTGAGAAACATCCTACATACTTTCTGACTGGCACCCCTCAAAACTGTCACAATCAGGAAAACAAGGAAAGACCAAGCAACTCAGCACAGAGGAGGCTGATGAGGAAACTGCCACAGCTAGCTATTATGTGGAGCCCTGGACTGGCTCCTGGCACATACAAAGCCCATTAATGGAAAAGCTGCTGAAATTGGAATAAAGACGGGTTTGGTTAATAGTAATGTATCAGTTAGTTTTGACAAATGTAACAAGGGTGTAAAATTAAGGGAGACAAAGTGGGTGAGGGACTCTATGAGAACTCTATTGTCTCTGTAACTTTCTGTAAATCTAAATTTACTATGAGCAGTTTGAGACAGCCTGGGCAGCATGGTGACACCTCGTCTCTACAATAACTAAATTAATTTTTTTTTAAGTCAGACAACCCCCCCCCTTATGTCCCCTCCCACTCTAGGAGTTTTCCCGCCCTCTCAATAAATCCTGCTTTCTTAAAAAAAAAAAAAAAAAAAAGTCAGGCATGGTGACCTTTGACTGTAGTTCTAGCTTCTTGGAAGGCTGAGGCAGACGGATCACCTGAGCCCATCAGGTCAAGGCTGCAGTGGCCATGATCATGCCACTGCACTCCAGCCTGAGCAGCAGAGTGAGATTCTGACTCAAAAATAAGTAATTACTACAAAAAACTTTTTATTTTTAGTCGAAGTCTCATGTGCACCACCATGCCTGGTTAGTTTTTGCATTTTTTTGTAGAGATGTGGTCTTGCTATGTTGCCCAGGCTGATCTCAAAATCCTGGCCTCAAGCAATCTTCCTGCCACAGCCTCCCAAAGTTCTGGGATTACAAGCGTGAGCTACCGCACTCAGCTGTATTTTTTGTTTTGTTTTGTTTTAAATCAACAGCCTCCAGAGGTTACCCACTGGCTGGGTCAGGTCTATATTTCCAGCAGGTGGTTGAAACCCTTCAAATGCAAGTACATGTCATGTCAATCTCAAATCTTACTTTCCCCTTAAAGTTAACCTCCAGCACCAAATCTGTGTTCCCAGGCACATTATTCCCTTTAAGAACTGGGTGCCTTTGGATGTGCTGTGTGTCAGATAGGTATGTCTGTTTCCATGCCCAAAGGAAAACATTCTCTAAGATTTTCCTAACTTAGGCAGAGTTAGTCACTTCATGTTATAGTCCTTTCTTCGTACTGAGGACTAAACTGTGACCTTTCTCTCTTAACTACATTCCTAACTAAGAGGCTTCAGGAGTCATGCCTGATATGGAATCACCAAACAGATTTATTACCCAAATACTGGAGTTTGTTTTCCAACCTGACTCTGGTATAACATCACACAAAAGATAAAGAAGTCAAAATATTTTATGACCCTGAAAAGCCATCTCTTGGGGACTCCCAGACTCCAGGCGTATTCTCCTCTACTGATTTCCAAAATCCCTTAGACAGGAACTACAAATTGCCAGTCAAGAAATCTTTGAGTCCACATATAACTTAGAAACTCCTGCTTGGAAATGTCCCTCTTTCCCAGGCCGAACCAATGAATATCTGACATGTGGCCAGGCTAAGTGCCTCAGCCTGTAATCCCAGCACTTTGAGAGGTTGAGACGGGTGGATTGCCTGAGCCCTCGAGTTCGAGACCAGGTTGCACAACTTGGTGAGACCTTGTCTCTACAATAAAAAATAAAAAAATTAGCCGGGCGTGCACGCCTGTAGTTTTGGCTACTTGGAAGGCTGGGGTGGAGGGATCATCGGAGCCCAGCAGGTTGATGCTAGGGTGGCCGTGAATGTGTCACTGCACTCCAGTCTGCTCTACAGAGTGAGACTCCAACTCAAAAAAAAAGAAAAAGAAAAAGAAAATCTGACATGTATTGATTTATGGCTTTTGTAACTTTTACCTCCCAAAAATGTATATAACCAAACTACAATTCAACCACTCCAGGAACAAGTTCTCAGGACCTCCTAAGGACAGGTGACCACTCATATTAGCCAGAACAAACCATCTCAAAATAGTTTACAGAGCTCAAATTCTTTTCATCAACAGTACTTCCCGTCATATATAACTTAATAGACTTTTTTCAGATTAAAATACATATTCTTTTTAAAATTTAAACATTAAAAAAAGAAAAATCACAAAAGTTCCCATTGTTTCCCCAGAAACACCGCTATGGTTTTGTGTATTGCTTTCCAGAATTTTCTCTACATAGGCAAACTGTCTATAGGACCTCAACATACTGTCCTCCAACATGCATTTCTCCTTAATATGTCCTGGCAATTGGCATATAGTATTGTCTCATCACTTTTAATTGTTGCAAAATGGTCCATTGTACCAAGTGTTCCCTAATTAATTTAACCAATCCTCTCATTAGTCTTTCTCACTAGTCAGGGGTTCCTACAAATGAAAAACCTGAAGTTAAGCCTGTCCTATTGCTATGAGGGGGACCCTGAAAAAAATGGAACTTATAAAAATTGTGAATATATTCTCACATGTTTAAACTTCAGTCACCTTTAAAGTACTCTCTGTTTGGTGCAATACACCTATCAAGATGCTTTTTCCACTGCTCAGAACAGTTTTTGAGCCCATCAATGTTGATGCCTTTTAGTGTTTCTGCTGTTTTATGTTTCACCTCTTCCACATTGGCAAAATGTTTCCCTTTGAGGACTTTTTTTCATCTGGGGAACCAAAAAAAAAAAGTCGCTCAGGTGAGATGGGATGAATACAGAGGGTAGGACACATGGGTCATACCGTTTTGGGTCAAAAACTACCAAAAACTCAACACTTTGTGCGCAGGTGAGCTTGTAAATCACTCATCATGAAATGGGCAAATGTGTTGAAAGAATCTTCCCCCACCAAAAAAATTCACTGAAACTGAAGGCAGCCTCTACAACAACGCTAGGTTGTCCACTGATGCTGGGCTACTGATGCCAATGGGTTCCTGGAACACTTACCTATGGAGGGAGTCTGTACTACAAGGGACCTGCCTCCCCTAAAGATAATTCTGTCTTTTTGGGGGGGTCCTCTTGAATTTCTCCATGTCTAACATAGTGCATGGATAAATCAGTCAATTCATCCTCATTTGAGAAGTCGCAAAGCTGGGAAGAGAGGTCATAAAGGCCCAAACCATTGCAGGTACCAAGGCAAAGACAGGAAGCAAGGAGTTTAAGATATGCCATCATGGATTCCATGGGATTCTGTGATGGTGCTAGGAACTAAACAGAGAAAGAACTGAGAAAGGGGTCAGTTCATGAGGAGGCAATGACTTTGCTCTGATACAAGTTAAAGTAGTTGATTGGCCGGGCTCGGTGGCTCAGCCTGTAATCCCGTACCTTTGGGAGGCTAGGTGAGTGGATTGCCTGAGCCTGCGGGTTCGAGACCCGCCTGGGCAACGAGACCTCATCTCTACAATAAATCAAAAAATCAACCGGGCGTGGTAGCGCATGCCTGTAATTCCGGCTACTTGGAAGGCTGAGGTGGAAGGATCGCCGGAGCCCAGCAGGTCGAGGCTGCGGTGGCCGGGAGCGTCCGCTGCACTCCAGTCTGGGCGACAGAGTGAGACTCCAACTCAAAAACAAAACAAAACAAAACAAAACAAAACAAAACTGGTTGATTGGCCGGGCTCGGTGGCTCAGCCTGTAATCCCGTACCTTTGGGAGGCTAGGTGAGTGGATTGCCTGAGCCTGCGGGTTCGAGACCCGCCTGGGCAACGAGACCTCATCTCTACAATAAATCAAAAAATCAACCGGGCGTGGTAGCGCATGCCTGTAATTCCGGCTACTTGGAAGGCTGAGGTGGAAGGATCGCCGGAGCCCAGCAGGTCGAGGCTGCGGTGGCCGGGAGCGTCCGCTGCACTCCAGTCTGGGCGACAGAGTGAGACTCCAACTCAAAAACAAAACAAAACAAAACAAAACAAAACAAAACTGGTTGATTGGCCGGGCTCGGTGGCTCAGCCTGTAATCCCGTACCTTTGGGAGGCTAGGTGAGTGGATTGCCTGAGCCTGCGGGTTCGAGACCCGCCTGGGCAACGAGACCTCATCTCTACAATAAATCAAAAAATCAACCGGGCGTGGTAGCGCATGCCTGTAATTCCGGCTACTTGGAAGGCTGAGGTGGAAGGATCGCCGGAGCCCAGCAGGTCGAGGCTGCGGTGGCCGGGAGCGTCCGCTGCACTCCAGTCTGGGCGACAGAGTGAGACTCCAACTCAAAAACAAAACAAAACAAAACAAAACAAAACAAAACTGGTTGATTGGCCGGGCTCGGTGGCTCAGCCTGTAATCCCGTACCTTTGGGAGGCTAGGTGAGTGGATTGCCTGAGCCTGCGGGTTCGAGACCCGCCTGGGCAACGAGACCTCATCTCTACAATAAATCAAAAAATCAACCGGGCGTGGTAGCGCATGCCTGTAATTCCGGCTACTTGGAAGGCTGAGGTGGAAGGATCGCCGGAGCCCAGCAGGTCGAGGCTGCGGTGGCCGGGAGCGTCCGCTGCACTCCAGTCTGGGCGACAGAGTGAGACTCCAACTCAAAAACAAAACAAAACAAAACAAAACAAAACAAAACTGGTTGATTGGCCGGGCTCGGTGGCTCAGCCTGTAATCCCGTACCTTTGGGAGGCTAGGTGAGTGGATTGCCTGAGCCTGCGGGTTCGAGACCCGCCTGGGCAACGAGACCTCATCTCTACAATAAATCAAAAAATCAACCGGGCGTGGTAGCGCATGCCTGTAATTCCGGCTACTTGGAAGGCTGAGGTGGAAGGATCGCCGGAGCCCAGCAGGTCGAGGCTGCGGTGGCCGGGAGCGTCCGCTGCACTCCAGTCTGGGCGACAGAGTGAGACTCCAACTCAAAAATAAATAAATAAATAAAGTAGTTGATTGGTCCTTTAGTGACAGATGTCCAGGAGGTATTTGGAAATGTAGGACCAGACACATTTGAGAAACAAACTGCCTCAATTGTGTAAAGCAGAGAGAGTTTAAGAGGTCTACCATTCCTTCTTTGCAATTTTAAAATCTAAAAGGGTTTGAAAACCAAAAGCATTTTCCTAAACTTAGGGCAAAACTCACTTAGCAGTAACACCTGGTAAGAACCGTGGTGACGCTAGTGATAGTCTTTATCTCACTTTGTGTATTCATACATTTCATTGTAGAAATATGAATAGATTTGATTACCCAGTATGCCCCTCTCTCTGCACAGGGTGGTACAAAGCATATGGCAGGTGATCCCTATGAGTTTGCTAAAATCCAAAAATTCTGAATCCTGGAGCATCTCTGGATCCAAGAGTTTCAAGTAAGGGATCATGTTCCAAAAACAAGGAACAGAGCGCTGAGGGAGAAAAAATCGTGGAATCCACGCTAGAACCATGGGCAAACTGCACACTCTGTGGGCAGAAGTGAGAGCAAGTTTATGAGTTAATGAAGAGGACTGGGGCCTGGTACATAGTCAGCACCCAGGAAATATGTGTTGACTGAAGGGATATCATGAAAGACAAGGAAGAAGAGTTTCAAGCTTAAAGAGCAGCCCGGCACGGTGGCTCATGCCTATAATCCCAGCACTTTGAGAGGCATAGGCGAGAGGATTGCCTGAGCCCAGGGGTTCAAGATCAGCCTGGACAACTTGGTGAGACCTTATCTCTACAATAAATCAAGAAAAATTAGCTGGATGTGGTGGTGCACTATAGTTCCGGCTACTTGGAAGGCTGAGGTGGAAGGATCACCTGAGCCCAGCAGGTCAAGGCTGCGGTGGCTGTGAGTGTGCCACTGCATTCCAGCCTG